GACTTCAATTTCCAAATCAATTGTAAAAGGTTCCAAAAAGCGAAATTTGGATGCAATGTTCATATTTCAAAAGAAAAAAAGTACAACAAATTTTCTTATTATTGATTAATGAATTGAATTGATTTTAGGCCTTTTTATACAAGATTACAATAAAACATTGTTTAAAAGTACAAATCTTGAATAAGAAAGGGAGAAGATTTTGGTAGGGTTTTATAATATTTGTGTAATGATCATAAATTTGTATCCATGTTTGATGTTTTTGGATTTCAATCTCTTTATGGCATGTTCGAAGAGTGGAATTCGGACATATTTTTGACAAAAACAAGGGTGTCTCCTTGATGAAGTGATTTGGTAAAAATGTAATTTCAATCTCTAGATGGTGTGAAAGGACATTTTTGGTTTTGCATAGGATGTGTGATCACTATATAGGGTGTAGTGAACACCACCCATATGCTTTTCATCCTCAATAACATTCCACTTTCTCTTGCTAATGGAATTTTCCCTTGGAAGTTTGATATATCTTCCCTTTATTTTGTAGGTGAGACTTACTTTGTACACCCCATAGGGTGTTAGCACACCTTTTTGAAGAAAACCAAAATTCCCCTGAATTCCATAAATACATCTCCCGGCGCACCCATAATACATACATATCAGCACTTTGTAACTGAGTCACCCCCATTATTCCCAGAATTAGTCCGAAGATGAATCTCTATAACAATGTTAGGGTGATTTAAAAACTCAGTGAATTTTACTGAGACATATCTCCGGAATAAGCCATTTTTCGTCGAACTAGAAACAGTTGCAGAGTTTTGAAACAACGACATAAATTAACATCAAAATACTTAACGTTACATAGATAATTGTTAACATGAATTTAACATTATATTTCATTACAAATTCATGGTTCAATACATTTCAACATCTTTAGAATATTTTATGTTGATCTTCCAATCGTCACATCTGCTTTAATCGGACCCTTTGTTTCTTAACAGTAAAATATACTCCACATAACCCTTAAATTTTCATTTTTCTTCAAATCAAACTTGATGAAAAATATCTTTCATTCATCATCAACTGAGGGTGAACGATACTCAAGCTTGAGAACTCTTTGATTTTTTGGATATATCGTAGGATATTATTCTATTTGGATTTCATATCAGCGAGAGGTGTGTCCTCAATAACCCTAAATTGAAGTGGGGACTTTGCGTCATTGAAATACACAAATGCAAGATGGAAATATGTATTAATTATGGTGTTGTGTGTTTTGTAAACAATGTGATATGAGAGACCCCATATTTATGCAAGTTTTAAATCATTATGGACCTTAGAAATCCTATACTATCTCAAAGGATATTTCGGATATGCATTTCAGGACTCACTCTATTTTTTTTTTCTAAAATAAGGGTTTCTACGGAGACACATTTTTGAATTACCTTCATTTAGTAGTTTTGAAATTAAAATGGGGTTAGTTCGGAAGTACGTCTCCAAAACTTCCCCACATACCCATTATTCATACGGAACCAGCTATGTGCATGGACAAAGTTGCTAATAGTGTGAAACAGAAAAATTTTCTAAAACAGATCCCCAATTGTTATACAATTAATGTTCAATCTCGCTTAACTTGGTGAACTCTTCCATCCTTTCTAGGAAGTGATACGGCCAACTTTTAACCTTTTTTGTGGAATGTGTCATCCACTCCGGTGATGACTTTGGTATAGAACATCTCAGTTTCAAATAAACTTGAACAAAATATAATGATTTTAAAAGCCATATGATACACATGATGCGATCAATTGGATTTTGTGGTGGGCACTCCGAAGTGGAAAAAATGTTTTCGAGAACCAATATCTTGTCAAATTAATACACACCCTTTTTATATGCATTTGCTATAAGATGAATCATTTTAGGGAAGCGCAATCATTTCTCCTCCAGTGTCTGACCGCTAACATAAGGAATAAGAGATTCATGAATTGAATCAAAATGTTCTTTTTTCCTGTATAGGGTTGTGTATGATTCTTTATGCATCTTCAACCCTTTGATAAGTTGTTGGCAGACAAGTTTATAATTTTTCTCTCCTTTACCAAGAAAAGTTGAAACAGGTCGATAATCTCAGTTACCATCAACTTCAACATTTACAATCGTTGATTCTATTTGTGTATAAAAACTAACATTTCTTCAACGTATATGATTTTTAGTAAAGGTGGTGTAAGAGATAGTTTGCTAAAGCGAGTACCTTTGAAAATATATTTTTTTAAGATTCTAAAGTTGGAAAATACAGAAAAAGTATGTCAACATGTTCAAACTAGGAAGGAAACTGCATCATTGAATTGTCCCTCGGTGTTGGCTTAACCTTCTTAGGAGCATCCTTTGTTTTTACCAGTTGCGGCGGTGGTTTCAAATATGTGGTTCCTGGATAGGCATTTTCCTCGGTTGTTCTTTGATGTGAGTTTCATGTTGTCATCGGCTTTCAAATATCTCTCTTGATTTACTTCTCACTCGATCAAGATAGACATATTCGATTTACCATCTAGCATCGCACCATCATCATCAAGCATAAGTATTTTCCAGTGAGTGTAAATATCGTATATATGTATTGGTCTAGAAAGCTCCATTTTCTTTGGAATCAAACAAGCACATGGAAGACTACGTCTTCTTAAATGTACAACACACTTTGAACTATGTGTCCTTGTTTTCTTGGTTGCTTGGCTTCGTGATGAATAAAATTCAATCTCACCCAAGATATGTTTCCAGTCAACTGTAAATAAAGAATGTTGTGTTTGAATTGGTGTTCTAATACAATAATGCTCCTATCAAAAAATATTTGTAACTAATTATGTTGAGTTTTGATCATTTGGTTCATAGATTTCCAACCTCTAAAAAAATCACCTTTACTATTTTTCCAACCAATTCTTCAGTGTAGCATGTGCAGATTCAACTTGGTTAGTTTTTGTATTTCTAAATTTCTTAACTTGATGGTCCAAGCACATATAAAAATTCTCTTTCACTTGGTCTAGAATTGTACATTCGACATATTTCAACAAATCGGGATATTCTCAATGTATAACAGAATCGACATATAACTCTTTTGTAGAAGAATTTATTATAACATTATAGACATCCATTATGCTTTCCAGTATAACACTAGCTTTTACCATTTTCCCATCTTCACCCTTTATTTGTTTGGTCCCTACCGCAGGCTTAAGTATACTTCACACATTCTTTGTTATGTGATACCTACAAAGTAATGCATGTGATGTAGGAAACACATTTGCAACTGAATTCATCAATGTGGTATTGTGATCGGTGATAATGATCTTCGGCGTGTTTTCTTAGTCCTTCAACATAGTTTTGCACACTTCCAAAGTCCATGTAATATTTTCCGCTTTTTTCATTTTCCAAAAACCATAACCCTGTGGAAAAGTCATCTTCGTCGAAGTAACACCAACAATTTCTAGAAATGGAAGTCTATACTTACTCGTCTTTTATGTTGAATCAATTGTGAGCATAATAGAAAATGTGTTGAACAACTTAATAGAATTTGGATGAGTGTAAATATATCTCGAACACTGACTCCATCTTCTCACGCTTCGTACCTAGAAACATAGTGATCATCATCCAAAAGCTTCAGTAGTTGTGGCATTTCAGTTATTAGTCCTCTTATCACCTTACAGCACGAACATTATATATTTGCTTGATATTTTAAACATTTTGAGGTCTTTTTCGTTTCAAAGTTTCAAGTATGTTTTGGGGTGGCACCATATTCAATGTCATGTCAGGATTAAGGTGACATACAATGGGACGATCGGCTAGCTTATGACACAAGTCACAATTATGTATATTAAAAACCACATTAAATTTCCATGTATTGTTCGCCTTAAGGTATCCACACACCTTAAAAGGACACGCACGCTTTCTCGTTGTAGTGTCATCTCGTTTCAACTTTCGAATAGGGTGTTGGTACTTGCCACTTATTTCACATCTCATTGTTATAAAAGCATGTCTTCTCTCATACCATTATCATACTTCCCGATTATAAAGTTGAACCCTAGTTTGGCGGATCGTATGGATCCGTTTGAGCATGTTCACGAATAACAAACTCATATATACTTGTAAATTTTTCATAACATTTACCTCGACATCAACCGATTTAACACCTGCCGTGATATCAACCAATTTAAAACAATCTTCGACATCACCCAATTGAACATGATCTTCCACTTCACTTGGGTTAACATCCATAAACACAACAGCGAGGAAAATATTAGGGTACACCAAATATACGATCCATCATAATAGAAGAAACAGATTTAATAGTCAAATTCAATTTTAAAATAATCCATATGTGCATATCTAGAACACATGCAAATTCATCCGGAAGGGATAAACTATATAAGAGTAACTAAAACAATGTGATAAACTATATTTGTATTTTTATTTTTTTTTCAAAAAGAATGTTAGATAGATGATTTTTAGAAAATTTTGGAAGAAATAAAATGTACATTTATATTTTGATATATATTCATATTTAAGAAATATTTAAAAATAAAGACAAACTTGTAGTTACATGTTTTTAAAATATTAAATATACATTAAAATATAGACTTTTCTTCAAAGTTATTTCCTCTCTGGCCCCTCCAAAAACCACTCAAACACATCCATAAGTCTTGCAAATTTATATTAGTACACAAATTCAAAAGAACTTTGTGTGAAGTTGGATAAGTTTCAGCCCATGCCTCACTTCTCTTTTTTTTCCCTTTTAATATGTTATCAAAGCATGTCTTAAATAATATATGATAACACATCTTGTAGAAGCCTTTTTAATCTAATATTACTTTATCGTACACTATCACAACTATAGCAACTTTTTTATTTGCTTTCATAATTTGGTTGACCCTAAAAAATGAACCCCACCTTTATCCCTATATTTATTGTCACAATTCCTTTTACTAGATGAATTACTCCCAAAAAATTAAAGACCGTGTACGTTCTACAAGGCCATATCATTCAGCCGCCTGAGTGCCCTTGTATGCGTTTATCAATTGGGTCTGTACATCATGAGAAACCGGAGAATGTTGCTTATATTCCATTGTGAATTCACCCTTTCCCTGCAGTTATTAGAAGGGGGGGAAAACAGCACGAAATCAAAAACCAGATACAAGTTGCCATCAAAACATGAAATATCTATGGTTATTGGGTAGTAGCAGAATATTCACCTGTGTCATAGAACGAAGAGCGGTAGAATACCCAAACATATTGTTAAGAGGGACCTGAAATAATACACAGCAGCAGCCAAATTAGCCATGTTAAATGGGCAAAAGAATAATGGCTAAAAGCAAGAGCAACATCAACCTTTAAAATAAACATGCGCGAATCACAATCACAATAAACCAGTAAATTTCAATTTGTCCCAATAACAATTTTCCACCACCATTATATTTCGCAAACAGGTTTAAAACACAATAAGACATCAACACTCATAACTACACCTCTACCCAATTCTGCCAAAAAAAAAACCTAGAACCAGTTGCCTGATGGCATGTTAACCTAATGCAACCAAGTATCATCCAGCAGCATCACCTCAAGAACCCAAAGTCACTTCCTAATGTAGTGTTGTTTACAAAGCCGGAGGGGAAGGGAGAGAATTCAAAACTAATTTAGTTTTTGTACACACCTATAATTTTGTCTAAAATCTTGGAATTCGGACTAACAGTAAGTCAATGTTGAAAGATAACTCTAGGAATGCACTTAACACCGGTACCATGAAACAATACAGGGGACCCAATAACTAATAAAGGATAGACGTTAATTATGTCTTAGAATTTGGGCTATGCCTAACTCAATTATATAAGCTATAGCTCTAGAGAAGAGAATGCCTAACTCGGCTACATAAGCCAGTTCAAGGGATGAGGATTTCATAAGCATTAAAAAACTACTTTTGCCATATCACTAGCCGATGTGGGATGTCAACACCTCCCATACTCAACACATATGTGACGATTTAGGCATATTTTAGTCATTGATCATTGCTAACAATCAGATCTTTTCTCCTGTAATCGATAATAGTTTAAAAAAATTAATAGACCTGTTAAGTAGATACTTACATGAGCTGTAAGGACAGAATCATCCCCGTCCTGATCATTGCCAACAATCAGACCTTTTCTCCTGTCATTTGTAATAAAAGTATGTCAGAAAATTCTGAAATTTACCACAAATAAATAATATCCAGAAGAAATAAAAAAGGTAAAGAATTCTCACTTGTTGAGGTCACCAGCAACAGCTCCTTGAAATTCTGTTGGTACTTTCAGCTCAACAAGCATAACAGGTTCTAATATAACTGGTCTGGAAGCTGCGTAACACTGTTACAGAAGACAGCACCACAAATTGTAAGGGAATGATGCCATCATATCATATCGATGTGAAGGAATGAATACACAACTACAATATGTGCAATGAAAATAACCTGTCTGAAAGCATAGATAGAAGCCATCTTAAAGGCAAGTTCACTGGAATCAACAGCATGAGCAGCACCATCTGTCAAGACAACTCGGAGATTTTCAACTGGATGTCCAATTAAGGCACCACTGTGTGAAGAGCAAGATTGGGTTAGGGTTGCCACACAAAAAAGTTCAATCATTCTTGCACACCAAAATTGTACACAGCTAAATAAGAAACTAGTAAAATTTCACTCACGAGTTGGCAGCTTCTTTAAAACCTTTCTCAATTGCAGGGATAAAATTTGATGGAACAGCTTGGCCAACAAGCATGTTTTCAAATTCAAACTTAGTTCCCGACTCAGTAGGAAGTGGTTCAATATACCTGTTCATATTGAATACAATATATATCAAGAAATAGAAGGGGTATAGGAAGATGTACACAACTAGCTTCTTTACCAAATGAATGGTAACAATATTTTACATAAGATACATATAAGATGTTAGGAATTATGTTAATAAATCAAGAGCCCAGCCTCTATAAGTCTGCGACAGGAAGAAGTGCAAAAATAATGAGGAAAAATAAGAGTTAGCTATGTAAGGTAGTTTAATTAGTTAGGTTGTCAGGGAAGTTTTCTATTAGGCATTCTTTGTATGTTCAGAATGTCTATACATAAGATTTCCCATGATGCCTTCAGGATCTTTAGCTAACTGATAGATTCGATTGGAAATCCAGTATAAGGAGAGTATTCGCTCTCGTGTACCCTATTCTTTTGTAAGTTACAAACTAAAGGTACGGATAATTTCATTTCTGCTAGTTTTGGCTCAGAATCCTAACATATGATAAGCTGATTTCAAAAAGCAAGATCTCATTCTAAAAAACACGAAAAGACAAATTACAAGCTTAGCACAACTTGAGTTCCTAAAGATTACTTGAAAACCTGCATGACAATATTGGTGAGGATTGTCGAGGCCCTATAAACAATATTTAGCCCTTATTTGTAGTTCAGCGACTTCAGTTTTTCCAATAAAACCCCTCAAACCATTATCTGTACTATTGAGCCTAGTGTGTGGAATCTATCTCAAGAGGTATTCTAAGAAATTGATCCTATGAGATAATTAAATATATCAAGATAGTTTAAGATATCCCTCATCTTCTAAAATCTAACATTCTCATTTTATCTCAAACTCCTGTCAAAGTTTCCATCACTGTTTATCATTCTCTCCTAAAAACACTTTCTATCAGTAGGACTGGCCACTTCTATTGAATTTTTGTAAAATTAATTACTAGAATCAAACACTAAAACTTATTTGAATAGCATAAGAATGGCTAATCTATACATTACCCAATCACCCGTCCATATTGTCCTTGCCCTCCAGATTGCTTCTTATGTAAATAATCAAAATCAGCACGCTGAGTAACAGTTTCTCTGAAGTTTACACGGGGCTTTCCAACTGTAGCATCAACCTTACCAGGTAAAGATATAAGAATGAGTTAGACATTGTATCAAACAAAATACAACAAGAGAGGGATAAAGTCAATTGAGTTGTACAGTATAACAATAACTCTAGCAGTTATTGTTATATTATTAATTGTCAGTTATGGTGTGTATACGTTTAGAAATACATAGGGAAAGAGAAGGGGAAATTATCAATTGGGTATTGGGAGGGAGAGACCAAGCTCTCTAATTCTTGGAAGGGAGATGCCAAGACTCTAATTTCTTGAAAGGACATAAACTTGTAACTTTACTATACTAGTCTCTTTAGACTTTGCCTTTATGTTCGGGTGTTGATTGCTATAATAAATCTATATCCTCGGTTTTAAGACAATTCTGCGGAGGAATTATCCTATAAATTCCGTTCTTATCCTACTTTATTCAAATATATATACCAGTTCTAACAGACAGAAATTTTAGATGTAAACATTTGGCATGCATCATCAACAGTATGGTAAATAAATATACATGTTGAGTAAAATGGGTACCTTGTATTCCCTCCTAATGCGTTCAACATAGATATCTAAGTGCAGTTCTCCCATTCCAGAAATGATTGTCTACACTCAAAAGTACGTTAATGTCAATATAAAAACAATAATTATGTGGATTAAATGAGGAAGATCTTTAAGGAAAAACGACAACCTGTCCACTCTCTGGGTCCAAGCCAACACGGAAAGTAGGATCCTCTCTTTGGAAGCGGTTCAAAGCTTTTGAAAACTATAAGCAATACATGGAAAAAGTCAATTGAGTTGTGCAATATACAATTTTTCAAGCTGGGACTGCAGGGTTGGCATGTTACAAAAAGATATTACTCACTTGCCCTCCAGAATCTTTTGAGACAGGCTGTACAGCTAAAGACATCACGGGTTCAGGAACATTCATAGAAGTCATTGTGTATTTAACCGACCCATCAGTAAAAGTATCTCCTGATGTCCAAAAAAATATATTATGGTCAGTATAAAATCAGAACAACAAAAATATGAGCAGAGGCAGAAATAAATTTGAAACGAAGAGATTGCCCCAACCCAACAACAAGTCTCTATTAAAAACTCTCCGTCCCTACTTATTAAGACCCTTTATTCATATTTTTTGTTTGTACCTTGATATAATACCTTTAACAAACTTACTCGTGCATTAATAGTTTTTATACAAAATCACCCCATTAATTTGCAATTGAGAAACGTAAATTTGTTTTTTCTCTTATAATATCATTAATTGCAGATGTAATTACGGAAAGAAAAAAATAACTTTGACAAATTTATTGTTTAACTATTTTTCTTAACATTAAAAATTTTTACAAGGGGGTCATAATAAGGTCCAAAGGGAGAGTAACCATAAAGAACTACACAGAACTTATATCAATACTAATCCTTAAGCATGCAATTAACGTGTTAATCCTCCTAAATTTCAAACCTTAGAGCCAAACAACTTTTGAAATGGTTATTTATATCTAATTTGATTGTTCTTCATAATGACATTTGGGCTCAATCTCCAAAACCATGTCCTAGGCTTTTTGATGAGTACACGTTTATTATAGACCTCTAGACTGAAAGCTGACAATTGAAATGGTTATTTATATCTAATTTAATTGTTCTTTATAATGACCTTTGGGGTCAACCTCCAAAACCATGTGTTAGGCTCTTTGATGAGCACATATTTATTTTAGATCTCTAGACCGAAAGCTGACAATTGAGGTCGAGATAATAAGAGACAAGCTAAGCTCTAACAGTATATACCCTGTAACAGATACAAGTTAGCAGAGAATACAGAAGCAAATCAGTTCCTCGGAATTCTTTCTCAAATATTCCCATGCAAGCTTTCACTTATCAATAATAATTAAAGGTGGCCCAACGGATCTTGAATACAAAGCTCTCAAAAACATAGAAAAGCAATAAATTAAGCCTTTTACTCCTAAATTTGTTATGAATTTATGCTTATGCCCTTATATGATAACTTTTCATGTTTGTCTTCGTGTGTGTGCGCACATGCACGTGTGTCGTATAGTATTTTATATTAGTAGGATCTTTGGATGTGTGCTACGGACCTCGAGTTACAATCTTTTAATCCTCTCTTACGTACACTCTCTTGTTTTTTACAACATTGTATTAAAGATCCGTGGGGCCACCTGTTATCAGGTTTCTGCTATCGGATTACCCACCATTCAAATTTACGCACTAAGCCCAATTGTGTTGGGTGTGAGGGGGGTGTTAGGCTCACCCCAAAATTCTAAGAGGAAAGGTAGTTAAAGGGATTGTGAATATTTATTTCCAGCAAGCTGAAAGTTTTTCTAGAATTATTGTACTCATAACCTGATGTGCTTTTTATGTTTTGAAGTACGGTTGTATTATTTTGGTTTTCTATCTCAGCCCCTTAGTTTAAATTTATTCTCCAATAATGCCACATTTTAAAAAATCTAAACCACCACCAAAAGGTTCTAGGCAAACATCTAATCAGCCAACAAATATGAGAAAAAAAGAGAAATATAGAAATCTAAAAATGGATATTCCCAAGCAATGTGAAAAAAAGAACCTGATGCACAATCAACACCAAATACAGCAATTATTTCGCCAGCATGGGCCTCCTGAATATCCTGTTGAGGAAAAATGTTCAATTAGAAGTTTAACATAAATAGCAGAGAATAAATTAATATTAAAAATCTTCAAAGTGAACTTAGAAGAGACAAAACTGCACATGTTTTCCCTTTCATCAGCGGAAACAATATCCTATGACATACCAATAACTCTAACTCCTTATTTTAATTTTAAAAAGTTGCAGTTTCCGGAGACAGTCATTATATAGGAAGATCAACGTTAAAAAGCCTAAAAACAAACCTGCAACTCATTAGAATGCATCCGACCCAAGCGAGAAATCTGCATTGACAAAACAAAAGCTTCAATCACTAATTATTAGTCTCCGTTGTAAATAATGTATATTGTAATAAATGTAATCGTTCATTAATCAAGCCCATTAGATTTAGAATAGTCAATTTAAACGAAATAGTACATGTACTTTATTCACAACTTTGAAATATACATCAAAATATAGTCTACACAGTATCAGAGCTCCCAACTTTATGGATCTTGCTTCCGCATAAATTCCAGCCGCCATCTTAACGGTTTCTTTTCCGTCCTTCTTAGAAGTTTCTTGCATACTTGACTGCCTTAGCAATTTTTGTGCAACCTTGAGTGCAGCCTCATTGTGTTTTTATACTCTCTTTGCATCTTTCTTCCTTGACTTGCTACGATTCTGTTACTCTTTTGCATAGCATTTCTTTGGGTTTTTTGGTGCGCTCAATGCTTCCAGCAGTCAAATCACCATCGCCCTTCGACCTTCTCAGAATACTGATTCAACATCAAGTTTGCAATCCCATATCACGCCAAAACCCAGAAATTTTCCATTGTATGCTACCTCGCGCGCAGCTAGACAGCTTGACCATGTCTGTCACATGTAAGCCATGTACCACTTTCCGTTGGTTTTCGGTCATCGCTCACTTCAGAAAAGTTGTAGATTAAAAGCCTTGAGTTTGTTTTGGGTGGTTAAAATACACCAAGACATATGGCATCAATACAAGGCCAGATAAGTGACAAAAAGATACACTGAGACATGAAGAGACATTTGCTTTTGGTGGCAAAGATAAATATTGTTCAAACCTTATTATCTCTTGATATCTCTTGATGTTAATTCTGAATGGGAACGTGTTGGAAATAGAAAAAATACATTGTATGTTTCTCACTAAAATGAGCATTTAAGTCTTAAGTTCATGTATATTTAGATTCATGCATTTAGGAAGTTGGACTATTATTTATTTCTCCTTGTAAACATAATATGTAATTAATTATATAGTGTGTATAAATATCATAGTTGCTGAGTGTTTTATTCACTCAAGCACATTCAAAAAATTTCTTATTTCTATTTTTCACATGGCATCAGAGCTCCTAATCTATGGGACTTTACTTCCGCTAATCATTATTTAGAAATCTGATTGGACATTTTTATACTGTCAGAACACTTAAATCTTGACTGGGCAACACTTGGTTTTTCCAATTAAATATTGTCTTTGTTGAATATTAGCACAAAATCAAAACAGATTTTGTCATACAGCTCATTATGGCTGGATTCAAATTGTGATTAAATAGAAATTAATTGTATTATTATATTCTTACCTTATTTAGGATTAGCATTTATAGGGAGAATAATTACCCCTATTTCTTAGTGTAATTTATATTCTATAAATACTCATGTACTATGTTACAGAATAAATGAAATAGAAAAAGCATACTTCTATATGGTATCAGTAGCAACAAGAATCCTTTAGGGTTTTTTTTTGTTTTTGCTTCCGCTCTGTTTATCTTTTTTACATCCCACAATGTCTGATACCGAGTCCTCACTTTCACCCAAACATTCCTCACCCGAACCTAAATTAGTCCGAACGTACCATGAAAACCACCCTGTTCAGATCACAACAATTCGGCTGAACGGTGCTAATTATCTTCGATGGTCGCAATCCGTTCGTATGTATCTCAGGGGGAGAGGAAAGATTGGCTACATTACTGGCGACAAAAAACAACCAGACAAGGCAGGTGCAGATTATGATACATGGGATGCTGAAAACTCCATGGTCATGACATGGTTAGTCAACTCCATGGATGAAGAGATAGGTGCAAATTATCTCTGTTATGATACTGCAAAAGAACTTTGGGAAGGTGTCTCCCAAATGTACTCTGATTTGGAAAATCAATCCCAAATCTACGAATTAACTCTCAAATTGGGAGAAATTCGGCAAGGTGAAGATTCAGTCACCAAATACTTCAATTGTCTCAAACGTATTTGGCAAGATTTGGACCTTTTCAATGAGTATGAGTGGAAATCACCTGCCGATAGCAAACATTACAAGAAGATGGTGGATGTTAGTCGTGTTTTCAAGTTCCTTGCGGGTCTAAATGTTGATTTTGATGAGGTTCGTGGCCGAATTCTAGGCAGAAATCCTATCCCTCCAATTGGTGAAGTCTTTTCAGAAGTACGTCGCGAAGAGAGTCGTCGGCAAGTGATGCTTGGCAAAAATACAGCAGCTGTCCCTCCACCAGTTGAAGGATCTGCCTTGGCAATTCCCCATGTCAATCGTAAACCACTTCATAATCAACGAGGTGGAGACAAGACTCATTTATTTTGCGATTACTGTGGGCGCAATCGCCACACTCGGGAAACTTGCTACAAACTACATGGGCGACCAAATCATGGCAAGGCTGGTAAGTTTGGTGATCGTCCTATGCCTATGGCCAATGAGGCTGATTCGTCTCCATGTACGAAGGAGCAAATGGATAACCTTCTTAAGTTTCTAAAGTCCAATTCATCTCTTAATATCCCTACTGGAACTGTGGCACAAACAGGTAAGGATTCTTGGGCACTATCTGCTCACAACCACTCTAACCCTTGGATAATAGATTCAGGGGCATCTGAACACATGACTAATTGCTCTCATCTATTCAGTACCTATTTTCCTAGTTCAGGTTTTGAAAAAGTTAGGATAGCTGATGGTAGTTATTCAAGTATTGCAGGCAAAGGCAGCATAAAAATTTCAGAGCAAATCACTTTGCAATCTGTTTTACATGTTCCTAAATTCGCTTGTAATCTTCTATCTGTTCATAAATTGTCTAAGGACACTAATTGTTCTGTTCTTTTTCGTCCCTCTACTTGTGTTTTTCAGGACCAGAACTCGGGGAAGACGATTGGAACTGCTAGAGAGATGAATGGATTGTACTACCTTGATGGAATTCAGTTTGGCAATAAAGCGTTTTTCGGTTCAAACAGTACAAACGCATCTCCTGTTTCAGATCAAATTATGTTATGGCATAAAAGATTAGGTCACCCTAGTTTTTCATATCTTAAGCATTTGTTTCCTATTTTTTTCAAAGAAATAAATTCCTCACAATTTCATTGTGAAGCTTGTCACTTAGTTAAAGATCATCGTGTGTCTTTTAAATCAAAAGTCTATTCTGCTTCTAAACCTTTTTATTTAATTCACAGTGATGTTTGGGGTCCTTCAAAAATTAAAACTATGTCTGGAAAAAAATGGTTTGTAACATTTATTGATGATCATACACGGCTGTGTTGGGTTTATCTCATGGAGAAAAAATCAGAAGTTGAACAAAGATTTCAAGATTTTTTTAACATGATTAACAATCAATTTCAAACTAAGATTGGCATTCTAAGGTCTGACAATGGCACTGAATACTTCAACAAATATTTAAGTACATTCCTTGTAACTAAGGGGATAATTCATCAATCCACTTGTCGCGATACTCCGCAGCAAAATGGTATTGCTGAAAGAAAAAATAGACATCTCCTCGAAGTCACTAGAGCTATTATGTTTTCTATGAATGTACCTAAGTATCTTTGGGGAAATGCTTTATTAACTGCTTGTCACCTCATCAATCGAATGCCATCTCGGGTGTTACAATATGAAAGTCCTGTACAAGTGTTACAAAACAATTTTCCTACATCTCGTATTATTACGGATCTTCCCCTTAAAATTTTTGGTTGTCTTTGTTATGTTTACATCCCCAATGTTTTTCGTTCTAAGTTGGATCCTAAAGCCGAAAAATGTGTTTTTCTTGGCTATGCTTCCAATAAAAAGGGATACAAATGTTTTAACCCAGTTACAAAGAAATTTTTTGAAAGCATGGATGTTCACTTTGTTGAAAATCAACCTTTTTTTAAAAATTCTCTTCAGGGGGAGAGTCAATGTAATAATAAAGAAGATAATTTTTGGGAAACTTTGCCTGCTCTAGATGATATTGTGACTACAAATCACCCAAATGCTAAGATAATAGAATCTGAAACAGGGGGAGAAACACTGATTAAGGATGATAATCCTGAACTTAAAGTGTATGTTCGAAAAAAATTCCACAAAGGTGGTGCAAACCCTATTGTCTCTCCAGTAGAAATCCAATCTGATTTACCAAGTGAAGGTCCTACAGATAATCTGTCTTCTAGTTCTTCATCTGGTAATCCTTCTTACTCATCCAATGATTTATCTGATTTGTCTTTTCCTGATATTAATCTTCCAATTTCTGTGAGAAAAAATATTCCTGACCTCGATGTCCCAATTGCTGAGAGGAAAGGTTCTTGTATGTGCACTAAACATCCTATGTCTAATTACTTGTCATATGACAAACTATCACACACCCATAAGGCATATGTGTCTAGGATTTCTAATTTGTTTGTGCCCAGAACTATTCAGGAAGCATTAAGTGATCCGAATTGGAAATTAGCAGTGAAAGAAGAGATGGATGCTCTAAACAAAAATAACACTTGGAGTATCACTGATCTACCACAAGATAAAAAGGCAGTAGGGTGTAAGTGGGTCTTTACAGTGAAATGCAAGGCTGATGGAAGTGTGGAAAGATACAAAGCGAGATTAGTAGCAAAAGGATTTACTCAAACTCATGGTATTGATTACCAAGAGACTTTTGCCCCAGTTGCTAAGATCAATTCTATCAGAATTCTTCTTTCTCTTGCAGTAAATTTCAACTGGACACTATATCAATATGATGTTAAAAATGCCTTCTTGAATGGTGAATTACATGAAGAAGTATATATGAGTTTACCTCCTGGATTTGAAAAAAATCTTGGAAGAAACAAAGTATGCAGATTGAGAAAATCCCTATATGGATTGAAACAATCGCCAAGGGCCTGGTTTGAGAGATTTGGAAGTGTTGTTAAGAGACACGGTTTCACCCAAAGTCAAGCAGATCACACTATGTTCTTTAAACACTCATCTGAAGGTAAGATTGCTATCTTAATAGTGTATGTTGATGACATTATTATTACAGGAGATGACGTCAAAGCAATTAGTGATCTGAAGAGAAGA